CCTAGTAGCCAGGACAGGTGTGCCGGGACACGCCCATGAGGGAGTGGTCAGGAGAGGTCTAAGGTGACATGGGAATGATTCTTAAGGGACCGCGCACACGTGAATAGCCCCTTCTTTCTGGCCCCTTTCTGGCCTAGCTGCCTTGCTGCCCCTGGCACGCTCTGGCTTGCATTTGGGCTGCTGTTTATCTAAATAAAGAAATCTTAGCCTTATGGACGACGGATCATCTTTGGGCGCACGCGGCACCCAACAATCATCAGGAGCCTATGGAGTAGACTCAAGTATCTTTAAACGCAAAGGCAGGCAGCAAGCATCTCACTGTTTACTGGGGCTCTGAGAGGCTGGACTTCAGCTGGGAGAGCTTAGGAAGATTTTTGTTTCATTTTTGTCTTCTTCCTTTCTTTTGTCTCAAATGCATGATTCTCCTGCCTTGGTCTCCTACATACTGGGAGTGCAAGCATGCCCACCACACCCAGCTCAGAAAGAATTTTGAAATAACTGTTTTGTTTGTGACTAGGCCCAAGATTCTTTGAAAGAGGGCACTGCACAGACCTACCTCTTCCTGGGGTTCTGTCCTCCTGCTACCATATATGGGCTAACTCAGTCCAAGCAGTAATACCCTACAGCTAGAAAAGCAGCAGCCCTTGGCCTTCAATCCCCAGACCCAGGGAATAGCCCAGTAACTTGCCCAGCAGTGCTAGGCCTTAGGTTCCATCCCCCATACTGCAAAAACCAAACAAACAAACCCAGGCCACCTAGAGACAGAATCCTGGGAATCTCAAATTCCAGAAGATAGGTCTCACCTCCACAGGTTTCCTTCGAAGAATAAAGAAGTTCTCTGCTCGCATCATCATGAAGCGCATGAACTTATGGCATAAAATCTTCTCAATCTCATCAGCCTGATGACACAAAGACAAAGACGGCTCTCCAGCAGACAGGCAAAGCCAAAATCACCCCGGGCCTGCTTGTCTGGCCCAGAACCTCCCCACTGCTGAGAGGTTTGGTGGGAACAAAGACTGCTGATCTTTGAATTGCAGCACCAGCTGCTAACTGCAGCGAGGGCCCAGCCAGGGCCACTTGGCCTTAACAGGTGTTAGTTACTGAGCTCTCATCTCACACCGGTGAGGGAACTCTGGCAAACTAGTCTTTCATCAGCTGTGATGGAGTCCACACCTGTATCTGAAGCTGCCTGACCTTCCTCATGTCACTAGTGTGGCCTTTCTCAGCATCGGTGGGACCCACCTCACAGATTTCCTCAAGGAGTGTCTGTCTTAACATTACTAAAATCCAACAATCCTGAAGTCTCTCTTTTTTCAACTCTTCCAATTACTTCTGCATCTTGGCAATCAGACACCAGTAGAGCCACCCAGCCCCCTGCCTGCCAGGGCTTCCGTACCTTCCTTTTTTTTTTTCAAAAGGATTTTATTTATTTATTATGTATACAATATTCTGCTTCCATGCATATCTGCACACCAGAAGAGGGCACCAGATCTCATAATGGATGGTTGTGAGCCACCATGTGGTTGCTGGGAATTGAACTCAGGACTTCTGGAAGAGCAGTCGGTGCTCTTAACCTCTGAGCCATCTCTCCAGCGCCCCCCCCTTCCTTTTAAGGCTGAAGGCTTTCAAAAGGTAAGATTTGTAACATTGTTTTTAACTGCTATTTTTAGAGTTGGGGCAAATGATACTATTTTCCCACTTAAGATACAAAGTTTCTTTCTTAATGGGAAATAGAATCCAGGTCAAAAACAGGGCAGTGCTGGCACAGGCCTGAAACCCCAGCACTTCGGAGGAAGAGGCAGGTGATCTCTCTGATCTTGAGGCCAGCCTGGTCTAAAAAGTAAGTTTCAGGACAGCCAGAGCTGTTACACAGATAAACCCTATCTTGAAAAACAAGCAAAAAAAAAGGAATCTAGGTCAAATTTAAAAACAAATATTAAATAACCATTCAACTGATACTGAGACAGCAAGGCCCAGACCTATGTGGTAGATATTTGTCAAATATCGCTTAAGGAAACGTGTAAGAAATGGAAATCCTATTTTATACATATATGAACTGGAAGAGAAGAGAAAGCTCACAAAGAAACTGAAATATTTAAAGTCAACTGATTTCCAACAAAAGTCTAAGGTCACACAATGGCAGGAATTTCTTCAACAAATTGTGCTGACAACTGGTCATTCATATGTGGAAGAATGAAACTAGACCCTTATACCATATACAAAAATTAACTGAAGATGGATAAAAGACTAGAAGTAGGTCCTTCAACTATAAAACTACTAGAGAAAATACACAAAGAAAACACTATGACATTTGTCTGGGCAATTACTGTTAAAACAGATCTTCAGTTCTGATAGTTTTGCCAGTGTTCTTGTTGGCATTTTTCTTTCATGATGTTATCATCCCGCCCACTGCTAGCCTACACAGCTGTTTCTGAAAGACAAGCTAGAATGGATGGTCTGCTCCTTTTTTGCTGTTGCTGAGAATTCCATATGTGCATGTGTGTTGTACCATCTGTTTTTAAATGAAATGGCAGTGTCAGAAACTATGGCTATCAAACCAGTGCTGGTTGATAGTGCTCTAAGTGCACACAACCATCACCTATGTCCTTGCCGGCTGCATTTCCCTGTTTGTAATCCAGAGCCAGGGCTATGGGATAGTGTTGTTGCAGTTTTATTCCACTGACCCAGTTTTTGTTTTGTTTGTTTTTTCAGATAGGGACTCACCAAGTAGCCCAGACAGACTGGTCTTGGGTTTTCCATCTTCAGTCTCAGACTTCCAAGGGCTAGGATTACACGCATGTGCAACCATATCTGCTCTGGCCAATCATGCCAAGTAAATTCCTGAAAGCAGGCTCTGAATCTAGCTCACCGACCTTTCAGAAGGGATCCCTGGCTGTGAAGAGCGCTCCTAACTGTGCCCTCTCCATGGTGACTCACCTGTTTCACAGCAATGCTGACCCGGACAGAATTGATGGAGCCCTCAATCAGAACCTTTTCCTTCTCATTCCTGCTGATAGTAACAGGTTGCAATAGGAGTTCTTTGCTACTCCTAAAAACACAAAATCAGAGGACCAAGCTGATGCCATTGACTTTCTAGGTATCTGTAAAGATCACCACTTGAAAACCATGTATATCAAGTAACAACACAGTCCATCCTAACGTTAGAATTGTTTGAGTCACAGCAATCATTTTGGGGATATGGCTCAGCTGTAGACTGTGTGCCTAACATGCCCAAGGGCCTAGATTCAATCCCCAGCAATAAAAATACCTTCATTACCTATTTGGTAACACAACTTATTTCAACTATGTTCATCCCAGATTTTCCCCCCTTTGCTTCCTTTTTTTTTTTTTCTTCTTGAGACAGGGTTTCTCTGTATTGCTTTGGAGCCTGTCCTGGAACTTACTCTGTAGACCAGACTGGCTTCAAACTCACAGAGATCCACCTGCCTCTGCCTCCTGAGTGCTGGGATTAAAGTTGTGCACCACAACAGCCAGCTTCTTTTGGTTTCGTGAGAAAAGACCTGTTCTGTAGCTACGGCTATCCCCGACCCTGTGGTTCTATTGCTATTGCCTCAGCCTCCATGTGCTGGGATCAGTAGTCTCGCATATCCTTGCCAGGTGAAATTTCAAAAAGGAAAAATATTTATTTACTTATGAAATGAAAGCCAGACAAGACAAAACTGCATTCAAAACATGGAATATTTGGGTGTTAGAGGGTCTAAACTGTCTGGCACTATTAATGAGATAAAAAGTAAAAAAAAAGTCCTGATCCTTAAATCATTAATACAGAGATGTCAACTCTAGGAACTAAAGCCTGTGCCTTCTTCTGGAGCTGCCAGTGGCCTCAGTAATGCTACCGGAGACACTTCTCCACAGCGCTACTCCAGGGGCCACACTTTGGGCTATGTAGGTCTTCCATGGGTTTTGGCCTGTCAACATGGCCCCTTTAGACAGGGTCTGCTCTTGTGAGTTGTTCTCCTCAGCCCCATTCTGACCCTCTTCCCTACCTGACTTCCACCTCTGGCTTGTTGTGTCGTTCCACGACCTGGGAGGAGAAGTTCTCCAGACAGAGGGCAGCCTGCAGTGTGGCCCGCACGGCACTAAGGTAGGGGCGGAGAGTGGCAGTCTGCAGGAATAAACCCAAGATTAGGAAGGACCAGAGTCTACCACACCAAAGCCATTATCCCCCTGCCCCCGCCAAAGCTCCTATGGAACACACAATACTGAAAGCTTCAGGCGTGGTCATCACACAGAACAGAACACACCCAGCCTTCAAGATACAGCCCAGTCGGGAGTCTGCAGCAGTGGTTCCCAGCAGCAAACAATTCTACTTGGCATTTAGCAAAATTTGGAGAAAAAAAACTGTTATGACTTGGGGGCTGGGTGGGGACTATGGACGTAAGTCATGCCACCCAACATCTGGGATGCACAAGAATTACCCAGCCCCAAAAGCCACAGTGATGAGGCTGGGTGATACTGATCTAGATGGGTCCACGCCCTCCACCTGCTTCCTACATGGACAAATGTATTGATCCATGCCCTGAGCACACTGGGAATTCAGTCAGATAACTTCTGCTCTCAAATAACTCAACTGGATGAGATCACAAGGACTAATGGAAGGCAAAATGTAAAATTAACTAGGTTTATAAATAATCCATACTACGGAAATTAGTATGGACTAGACACAAGATCAGGAAGGTGTTTGTTTTGTTTTGTGAGACAGGGTTTCTCTGTGTAGCTTTGGAGCCTATCCTGGCACTCGCTCTGGAGACCAGGCTAGCCTCGAACTCACAGAGATCCGCCTGCCTCTGCCTCCCGAGTGCTGGGATTAAAGGCGTGCGCCATTAACGCCCGGCCTTCGAAGGGTTTACAATGAGAAAAAGTAGACCTGGGACATTCTCTGTAGCAGACAAGGTCAGCTTAATGATCAGCTACATTATTTCTCAAGTTATCTCTGTCTCCCCTCAGGGCCTATCACATGCTGGCCATCACCTGCATTCTTTCCTCCTCATTGCTTAGGTCAGTCCGTCAGAGCTCAGCTCACTGAAAAGGCCTCTTCCTTCCTCAAAGTGGTCTTCTTGACTTCCTCCTCAGTGCATTTACCAGAGTTTATGATATGTACACTTTACCATAATTCACAACAAGACATTCTTCATGTATTTTCTTAAATTGGTTCTCCTTCACTAGCTTGTAATTCTCATGGTCAACACACATTAACTTTATTCAGTTATGCTGGTTGCAACTAGCTCAGTACTTCCTATACATAGCATTTTACAAATTTCCTGTAGAGTGAACAAATGAACCGCGAGAAGCATTTTAAACTGCATAGACCAGGCTGCAATGGCAGGCTGGGATAAAAACCCTAGACAATCTAGAATGCCAGTTCACTGAGTTAGCCTTTCTCTCAATGTGGCAGGAAGCATTGGGACTTTCTGAGGAGGAAGTTACATGACTTCAGCAGAGGCTCTCTGGAGAATGGAATGGAGGGAAGTGAGACTCAGAAGAGGCACTGAGTACAGACTGGAGTGGAGAAAGCACAGCATCACAGGGAACAGCCAGACGTTAGACAGAGGAGGGAAAGGCTAAAAACACAACTAAGTTTGCACGTAGCCCGGTGCATTATGTTTTCTCTACACACTAGAGAATTCTATTTATATGTTAACCAAAAAAAGGCAAAACCGGAAGGGTGAAATTAGTAGTTGTCTGGGGTAGAGTGTACCCTTGGAAGAGTGATAGAATGTTCTCTACCTTCATTGAAGTAATGGTTATCTGATTATTTTGTTAATAGTCAAAGTAAGAAAACTAAAAGTGAATTCTAGGTGGCTAGTCCTGTGATGTCTGCCCTTTAGTGAATAGAAGGATCTCAAGTGCAAAAAAACTTAAATGCTTAAAAATGAAAAGCTACATCCTCAGTCAAAGGGATACGCTTTCAGGCTGAGGAATGAAACCAGTTAGGGTATGGAACGCAGGAGAATGAACAAGTTTAGAAAAAGCATGTGACTTTTGAACAAGAGGGTCTAATTTCAAGGTGTCTCTCCAGAGTCGAGTCACAGGAGCATGGCAAGCAGTCCGGCATTTAGAACTGAGGTCATCAAAGCCAGCATGACCGGGGAAAGCAGTAGGAAGAGAGATGCAACAGTACGGAACACCCACAGACACCAAACCCGAAAAAACCTGGAAGGGAAGGGCCAGCGGTCATCAGCGCTTACACACATTAAGGTCAACACCGTACCGCACTACGAGGAAGGAGCCTGAATGGAGGCAACACCACAGAACCTTCATTGAGGCCTGGAAGCAAGGGGTGGAAGGGATCGAGAGTAATAAGGAGGAGTGGACACTTGCCTTGGGGTACCGTGAGATCGAGAAGACAGGCGGGGACAAGGGGGTGCACTTAGCGAATCTCTACCGTGGATGAAGAGGAGGCCCTGCTTCATTCCTCAGTGGTCCTACCTTGCAGCCGCCACCACAGACCTAGCAGCCCCACTTCCCGCCTCCTCCGAACTCTGGCGAGAGAACATTCCTTCCGGGGATGCCCAACTTGGAAGCATCCGGGCCTGCTCCTGCCCAGCTCACCTCCCAGCTCGCTCCTTCCTCCTCGCATTTGCCCTCGCCCCACCCTCTGCCTCCCCATCCTCATCGTGCCCCCTCATCCTAGGGCAACCTCCGGCCGCAAGCTCAGGCGGCAAACAGCATCTCCCCCAGACCCCACAGCCTCTCCTAGCAAGACACAGGGAGTCCCCCGAGCCCGGGGTCTCTCACCATCTCGGGTGCTGTCGCGGGGCCGGAAAGCGGAAGTGCGGAAGTGCCCGGCCCCGCGACGCCTGCCCTTTCGCGAGGCGCAGCCGCAGTCTCCGCCAGCACTTCCGGGGGGGACCATCTCGAGCAGGACCGGGGAGGAAGTTCCGAGCGACGTTCGGATCCCCTGGACGATCTCACACTGGGACCGTAGGGACTTGTAGGAGGCCTGGGATGACACAGTAGCACTCGAAGCCCCTTGGGTCTCCATACATCTCTTCCCAGCGCCTTTGGTTCTTGTCGCCTCTGTTGTAACTTCCCCCCATGTAACAATAGTACAGCCCGACCTCAGGTTGGGCACCAAATTAGGACAGGCAGAGCCGGAGAAGCCCGACGTTTCTTCCGGTGGTGCTCCCTTCTCCGCCCGGGCTCCTCCTACCGGGAGCCCTGGGGCTTGGCCGAGCAAGTGGGTCCCTGGAGATCTGGGCTCTGAGCCCCGCCCTCGCCCCGGGCTGCTTCCTAGGGGACACCTCAGGCCTAGCATTCCACCTGTCGGAGGTTCGTAGGTGGCCTTAGACCCCCCCACCCCCCGGAGGCCACCGTGGGCTGGCTGTGTCCCCGCCCTCGCGTCAACTGCAGGGGGCCGGGCCCGCCCATAGCCAGTTCCGGGGCGGTTGCTTGAGAGCACTGGACTCCCCGCCCCCTCCTGCGGCCCGGGGCCTGTAGGAGGCCGCAGAGAGGAGGTAGGAGAGGCGGGAGCTGTGTTAGGGGCTCCCTAGAGGACGAGGACCCTGGAGGCGGGATCTTGGGGCGACACACAGGTGGAGCCAGCCATTAAGCAGTCCCACTTCTGTGCCAGGCACTGAACTGGGCACCTGAGAAGCATCACCTCTTAATCCTCAGAACATTCCAGGGAGGTAGGTACTCTTGATGCCCCCATTTTACAGATTGATACTTTTTAATGGGGAAACGGACCGAGGCATCATCTCTTGTCCTGGAAAAAAAAAAAAAAGAAACTAAGATTCAGGTTAAATAACATGTTTAGAGGGGCACATAATGGGCTGGAACTTAGTTCTGTCTGCTTGACCAGCTCGTGTTCCAAACTAGCTAGGGACGCAGAGAGGTACAAAAGTGGAATGAGGAGAGGCTGGGTGAACCCTGTAAGATAGAATGCTTGAAAGAGCCCAACAGAGGGCATAGGAAGACAGGGCACACTGGTATCTCTCTTGTAGTGCAGGTTTGAGACTTCTTGGGTTCGAATTAATCATGCAGGTTTGTAAACCTAGCTACTAGGGAGGCTGAAGCAGGTGGATCATAAGTGCAAGCAAGGCCTGTCTGGACAACTGAGTGAGAACCTGTCTCAATAAAAAATTGATGAAAGGGGGCTGAATGTAGCTGTTTGGAGACTATGTGCCTACATGCACTGAATAAGCCAGGTGTGGTTACATGCCTGGAATCCCATCACGTGGGAGGTGAAAACAAATATTCGGTTACTTAGCAAGTTTGAGGATGGGAAGTCAGGTGTGGTGGTATACACCTTTATCCCAGCACTCTGGGATGTAGAGGCAAGTATAATGAGTACCAGGCCAGCCAAGACCACATAGTGAGACTTTGTCTCAAAAAAAAACAAAAAAACAAAAAAAAACCTGAAGATAACAGCATGTGTGAGACTCAGGTTCAGTCTTAAGTGCTACCAAAACAAAAAAGACAATGAATTGCACTTAGGAGTCTGTTTCCTTTTTCATCAAAGGAAGAAAGGAAAGCATGAATAAAGCCCATCCCCCAAGGTTGTGTGTATAATTCAGTGAAGTAAGCCCCCCTCTGTACAATCAGGGCTCTATGAACAGGAACGTTGCCACCATCCGTATCTATAAAGGTATTGAATCCTGGTTTCTTTGTTGGACCTCTCTTCCATGCTACTTTGTCTCCCATCCAATGGCCTTCTCTCTAGTTTTACAGAATCCCATCTCCTGAGCCATGAGTGAACTGAAGGACTGCCCATTGCAATTCCATGATTTCAAGTCTGTGGACCACCTGAAGGTCTGTCCCCGGTACACGGCAGTACTGGCCCGCTCCGAGGACGATGGCATTGGTATTGAGGAGCTGGACACTCTGCAGCTGGAGCTTGAGACCTTGCTGTCCTCTGCAAGCAGGCGGCTGCGTGTACTGGAAGCTGAAACCCAGGTGATTCTCCAACAGAGGGGACATCACTAGAGAAAGATTGTGTCAAGTTATGGGATGGCTCATTAGGTTAATGACCTAACATTGACACTATATGTTGAGGATATGGATGGGAAGAGAGACCCAAATGGGAATTGTGACAGCAGAGTTAGGTCCCAACGCCAGGGATGCCATCCTACTAGACTTCAGAAGATGGATTCTGTCCCCTTGTAGTCCCTGGAATTCCCTGGGAGCTTTCTGAGATATACTGTGACACAGTCAGTTGTTTGTGTAGACAGGGCTCCCAGGAGGGTTGATGATTGAAATGAAGGTTAGCTGGGAGTCTTGTTGGCCATCACCAAAAAACCCACCACCAGCAGCATATTTCCCAGGACTGCTGCTATGCTCTGGGGCATAACCTTTTTAAAATTTGTTTTGTTTTTTTTGAGACAAGGTTTCTCTGTGTAGCTTTGGAGCCTGTCCTGGAATTTCTCTGTAGACCAGGATGGCCTTGAACTTTGAGAGATCCACCTGTCTCTGCCTTCTGAGTAATGGGATTAAAGGTGTGCACCACCACCACTGCCCAGCTTTATTTATTTATTTATTTATTTTGTTTTGTTTTTCGAGACAGGGTTTCTCTGTGCAGCTTTGGAGCCTATCCTGGCACTCACTCTGGAGACCAGGCTGGCCTCCAACTCACGGAGATCTGCCTGCCTCTGCCTCCCAAGTGCTGGGATTAAAGGCATGTGCCACCAACGCCCGGCCAGCTTTATTTTTTTTTAACCTTTCTACCAAACAGTCTGTGGCTAGCTTGGGTAACAGAGGAGAATGAGATGTAGACCTCTGGTTCGATGCATGTGAGAAAAGTCACAGAGAAAGAACTGGATAAGTGCTTTACTTAATAGCCTCCAATTGGAGATCTCAAGTCATCCAAGTGGGGAAGAGGAGCTTGTCTCTTCTCTCCTTCTCAGTGACTGCCTTTGTGTGTTTCAGATCCTTACTGACTGGCAGGATAAGAAAGGTGACCGACGATTCCTGAAGCTGGGTCGAGACCATGAACTTGGTGCTCCCCCCAAACATGGGAAGCCCAAGAAGCAGAAACTGGAAGGGAAGGCAGGACATGGACCAGGCCCTGGCCCAGGACGACCCAAATCCAAAAACGTTCAGCCAAAGATCCAGGAATATGAATTCACTGATGACCCAATTGACGTGCCTCGGATCCCCAAGAATGACGCTCCCAACAGGTTTTGAGCCTGAACACATAGAACAGAGCTAGAGGGGGCTTAGGGACTGGTGGTGTGGTCTTAGAAGACCCAGGGCTAAGGCTGAAGGAGCCCAGAGGTGCCCACTCAGGGTCTGCTTCTCCCTGCAGGTTCTGGGCCTCTGTGGAGCCCTACTGTGCGGATATCACCAGTGAGGAGGTACGAACACTAGAGGAGCTCCTGAAACCTCCTGAAGATGAAGCCGAACATTATAAGGTAGAAACCCTGAGCCATAGAACCCTGAGTTATAGAACAGGAGGGCTCAGAGGTGCCTCGGAATCCTAGGCAGCAAAGTCCACATCATCTACTTCCTTCCTTCCCAGCCTCCTGCCTGCTGCATTACCCCTGCAGACACTGAGGTTCAGCTTTCCCTTGCTACCCCCACCTCAGCCAAGTGGTGCGTCTGTCTGTCAGTGAAGTTCATCCTGTCCGCTTGCCTTTATCCTAAGAGCCTCTGAACATGCTCCTTGCTTTTAGACTTCAGCAACCGATTTCTTTCTGTACTTAATATATAAAAGTTAAGTTCCTGTTTCATTTCTAAGACACTAGAACTTGCTATGGTGTCCAGGCTGACCTTAAACCCTTGGACTCACCATCTCCCTCTCAGGTCCCCAGGTGTCTGGGACCACAAACATAACATCACTATACCTGTCTTAAAGGTTTTTGGTTTTTTTGAAACTGGATTTTATATATCCCAGACTAGCCTTGAACTTTGTGTAATGATGACCCTGAACTTCTGATCTTCTTTCCTCTGACTCCCTCATGTTGGGATTACAGGTATGTAATCCCAGTTTTGCAATCCTGAGATAGAGCCCAGGGCTTTGTACATTCCAGCCAAGCTCTCTACCAGCAGAGATACATCCCCAGCAAGATAGTTTTATGTATCATGAAAATAAAACATGTTCCATAAAAGAAAGTGGACCAACCGCGTGAGGAGGAGACTCTACCACATGGCAACTCCCACCTTGGCTGTGCTGCGTCTAGACCTTCTCTAAACCTTTTAGCCACAGGATGGAGGCCAAGTGTCTCAGTGCTTGGTGACACCCCAGTTCCCCTCTCCAGTCTTCCTTGGCCACACCCCTCTTTCCTGCTGCATTCATCAGCTGTACCAGACATGTCTCCCTCCCACTGGTCTCACCAGGGTCTGTGCCCAAGCTCTTCTCAGCTTGACAGACTGCCTCACTCTTCAAGGCCTGAGCTCATGCTACTGCCACCAAAGATGCCTTTCCAGACTCCTCAGCAGAAAGAGAAAGCTGGGCCTAGTGGCTCACACCTATTGCACTTGGGAGGCTGAGGCAGGTTTGAGGCTAGCCTGTGCTTACAAGTGTGAGGCCCTTTCTCCAAGAAGAGTAAAGGAAGTGGTCTCACTTGGTGACCCCATGGTCTCTTGGCTGCTTTTAATGCACTTACCTGAATTTAAAAAACAAACAAACAAACAAAACATTTATCTGAGGCCAGAGATGCAGTTAACAATAGAGGTCAGTGGTAGAGCAAATGTTTAGCATGGACAAGGCCCCAGATTCAGTCATGACCTAGAGAACTACAGCAACCTGTAATCTCACTTCTTGTCTCAAAGAAAGAAAGAAGCAGGGAAAAGGCAATCCATTTCAGCTGTAGTAAGTTTAAGCATTACACACACAAAATAATAATAATAATCCCTTGGACCCTAGTTCTTTTTAGAAGAACTACCTGTGACAAAGAGGATCCATAGACACAGCATTTTATACTTTATATCTTTTTGTTGTTGGTTTTTTTTTGTTTTTTGTTTTGTTTTGTTTTTTCTGTGTAACTGCTCTGGATGTCCTGGAACTCACTCTCTAGACCAAGCTGGTCTTTGGACTCAGATCTGCCTGCCTCTGCCTCCTGAGTGCTGAGATGGAGGGCATGCGCCACCACACTGGGCTTATACTTTATGTCTTCATTATTGCGTATCTGTTTCTAGGTGTATTTTGATTTTTGTTTTGTTTGTTTGAGACAAGATAGGGTCTCAGCCTGGGCTCAGACTCATGACCATCCTACTTCTGCCTCCTGAGTGCTGAGACAACAGGTGTGTGCCACCATGCCTAGCTGCTTTCGTTATTTATATACCTTTTTCTCCTACTAGAGTGTAAGTGCAGAGATTTTATCTTCTTTGCCTTTTGTGGCACCACCCTTGGCCTTGGGCTTGGGGCTTGGGCAACAAATAGGTGAAGAAAGAAACAGAATGAATAGAGAGTTTACTACAGTATCCCATACCAGGAGAGTCTCCCACACTCCAGGCAAAGGTGGCCAGGGTTTACCTCTTAGAATTGAATGGCCTCTTTGCTGCAGATTCCCCCACTGGGAAAACACTACTCCCAGCGCTGGGCCCAGGAGGATCTGCTAGAGGAGCAGAAGGATGGGGCTCGGGCAGCAGCTGTGGCTGACAAGAAGAAAGGCCTCATGGGACCGCTGACTGAACTGGACACAAAAGGTGAGTCCCCAGCTCCCTGTCCCCCTCAGGCCGGGATCTGAGTTCCCAGAGCTTCAGGCCCCTGCTGTCTTCTCCCTATCCACTGCAGATGTGGACGCCCTGCTGAAGAAGTCTGAGGCCCAGCACGAGCAGCCAGAAGATGGCTGTCCCTTTGGTGCCCTGACACAGCGCTTGCTGCAGGCCCTGGTGGAGGTGAGCACTCAGTTAGACTGGGAACTACAAGCTAGGTGTGGTGGTGTATGCTTGTGATCCCTGCAACACTTGGGAGACAAAGGCAGGAAGCTCGTGAGTTCAAGTGCCACGTGTATCCATCTCAGAAAACCAACACACACATGCACACACCACACACACACGCACTCACACACCACACACTCACACACACACACACACACACACACACACACACACCACACACACCACACACACACAAACACGCACACACGCGCATGGTTGTTAGTGTTTTGATGTTTTGCTTTTTGAGATAGAGTCAAACTATGGGCTAGAATGTACAGTCATTTTCCTGCCTCAGCCTCCCAAGTGCTGGGATAACAGATGTAGGCCTTTGTGGAGCATTGGTTAAGGAGGATTCCATGCATCCTTTCACTGAGGTGTGTGCTGTGTTAGCTCCATGTTGCAGGTGAGGAAACTGAGGTTTAGAAAAGGGAACTTTTCTTAAGACTACCAGCTAATAAGTAAAGGTAGGATTTAAGCCCACCCTTGAAGTTTCCCTCTTTATGCCCGTCTGGCCTTGGAAATGCCCTTTTATGTCCTTGAGCTTCAGTTTCCTCCTTTGTCTCTAACACAATAGTTTTTCTCTCAGGGAATGGTCTGGGGCATGCATTCCATTACCCAGACTGAGGTAATGGGAAGGGGAAGTCTGGCTTAGTCCAGCAGACTCTAGTTTAGTGTGACTTTTCATCATGACCTTGGTCTTACCGCACCAGGCCCTCAGAAATTGAGTAAGGAGGAGTGTGTGAAGGAAGTGCCCTGGGTGTGACTGGGAGCCTTACCTTTTTAGATCACTTTCCAATGAAGAATTTGTCCCATGAGTCCATCTGACTGCAGTGGAGCCTGGGAAATGTAGTGTAGCTCAGCTGCTGTGGAGGAAAAAACAGTGCTAGGTTATTTCCTTGTCACTGTTTCTCTTGTGTCCCCTTCTTTTGCTGTCCATATTCCCCTCCCCTCAATAAAAGAATTTCTATAATGATCAAAGCTTTGGAGGAAGCTTTTTTTGTTTTTGTTTTTTGAGACAGGAGCATGTCCTGGAACTTACTCTGTAGACCAGACTGGCTTCGAACTCACAGAGATCTGCCTGCCTCTGCCTCCTCAGTGCTGGAATTGGAGGAAGCTTTTTAACATGAGTGGGATGAAAAGATGGCAGACTATTTCTATCTAGCCTATAAAGACTGTGTATGTCAGAGAGGAGCATTAAAACAGGGATTCTATTGCTTCCTCCTTCTAACCTATCTCTGGTCTTCAGGAAAATATTATTTCCCCTATGGAGGACTCTCCTATTCCTGACATGTCTGGGAAAGAATCAGGGGCTGATGGCGCAAGCACCTCTCCCCGAAATCAGAACAAACCCTTCAGGTGAGTGACATACCATCTGCACTCTGGGTGTGACTGTCAGCTTCTCTCTGTCTTCTTAGGGGGGCATGCTTTGTAAACAGAGGCTGGGGCCATTTGACCATGCACAGACATCTGGCTATACAGATGTTTGCACAGCACATGGAAGTGCTGGCCTCGATTCTGGACAGGCTTAGTACAGACTTGATCATACCTTTGCCTTTCCTGGAGATAACCCAAGTGTCCAGCTGAAGGGAATGGCTAGTTGAGTGCTAAAACTGCATAAGAAATAACTTGTAACTGCTAATCATTACAGAAATATACTTGACATGAAAGAATTAAAACAGAGTACCAAATGGGGGGAAAGGAGTAATCCTATTTGTACTTAAACTATATTTAAGAGTTACATATAGTTTTAAAAAATCTTGGAAATATATATCATAAAAGATTGCAACTCACACATAACAAGGCCTGAAACATATATGTGTGGCTATATGGGTTCACCTTGCCAGACTGGGATCCTCTGAGGGCCCTCCAGCTGGCGCTCAGAGCTCAGGTGCTGGCCTTGCCTACAGTGTGCCCCACACCAAGTCCTTGGAGAGCCGCATCAAGGAGGAGCTGATTGCACAGGGCCTCCTGGAGTCCGAGGACCGGCCTGCTGAGGACTCAGAGGATGAGGTCCTCGCTGAGCTGCGCAAACGGCAGGCTGAGCTGAAGGCACTCAGTGCACACAACCGCACCAAGAAGCATGACCTGCTGAGGTGAGTGAGCACTGTGCCAGGGACTAGCCCTATCCCCCAGTTGGATCTCTGATGGATGCTAAGTCCAGGGACAGGGCTCTAGCACCCACAACTGACATATGGATGGGTCTGTGAATATGAGTGCAGGTGTCTGTGGTGTCAGCTGCCCTGCAGTTGATGAAGTTACTGGTTTTTGCCAGACGCCCAATGTAGGTGCTGGGAACTAAACCCCAGTCCTCTGCAAGAGTAGTACACACTTAACCACTGAGCCATCTCTTCAGCCCTGACTCCATTGATAAGCATAATTTAGTAATATTTACAGTGTTAAGTTGCTTTTGTGTTTTTTTTTTAAATGTGTGTTTTCTTTCTTTTTTTCAAGACAGGGTTTCTCTGTGTAACCTTGGCTGTTCTGGAACTCACCCAGTAGACCAGGCTGGCCTCAAACTCACTGAGATCCACCTGCCTTTGCCGCCCAAGTGCTGGGATGTGCTACCTCCACCACTACCTGGCTGTGTTTTCTTTTTCTTTATGGTATTATTCAATCAAAATACCACAGAGGCACTGGGAAGATCTGCAGTGGGGAAAATGCTTGCCACCAAGCCTGACCTCTTGCGTTCAGTCTACAGCACCCACATGAAAGCTGGCCACAGCAGAACATATCTGTAACCCCAGTGCTTGGGTGGGCAGAGAGGCAAGCCTAGCAGAATAGGCCATTTCTCAGTGGGTAAAGGCACTTACCACCAAGCCTGGCCACTTGATTTCAATCCCTAAAACCTAAAACCCAGATGATAGAGAAAGAAAACCAACTCCTGCAAGTTGTCCTCTAGCCTCCACATGCACACCATGGCATATAACCCTCTAGTGAATACCTAAGCTACAGGAAAAATAAATAAGGCGAAGCATGATAAAGAAAGATCCAGTATCAACCTCTGGCCTCCACATGCATGCACATATACATGTGCAATATGAAGACGTATACATATAACATACATAAAAAACATCATAGAGAAAATAATGAATATCAGTATGCTCAGACATATGAGTTGCTAATGTTCTCTTAGCTGTCTATGGCTTTGATTGGCTGGTCACCCCACACTTACTAGTGTCTTAGAATCAGTCATAGTGTCATTCATTTTATATCAACTCCCATCTGACTTTCCTTGCACTGGTGACAAGGGTAGAGATTACATGTGAAGGGCATTGGTAGGAGCTGCCCTTTTGTTAGCACTCAAGTAAGACTTCTTGTTCCTCTTAGAGCCTTGACAAAGCAGGTTCTTGATTACCTGGCTAGCTCTTACTGTGTCTGACCTGGTGCTGGGCCAGGAAGAAGGCAGAAGGAGACTCCTGTTCTCTTAGGTGGTCGGAGGAGACACGCCATTCAGAGGGGAGGGGCAGCTGCTGCTGAGCTTTATGGGGATCTGAGGATAAAGAAACCATGGTGCCCACTGTCTGCTAGGGTCTTGTGTACCTTCTTTCTTCTAAGACAAGCAAGCTGGGAGGTGGTAGCACACACCTTTAATCCCAGTACTTGGGAGGCATAGGTAGGCGGATCTCTGAGGCCAACCTGGTCTACAAAGAGTTCCAGGATAGCCAGCAATGTTACACAGAGAATCCCTGTCTCAAAACAACAACAAAATAAAAAGTTCCCTTTCAAGGGCAAGGAGCAGCAAGGGTAGGACCAAACGAGATTAAAAACAATGCTGTGTAGTTCCAGAGGTATGGCTTGCTGTGGAAATGTTTTGGTGCTGAAGCTCAGCCCTGGGCCCTGCTGTGCTCCAGCTACTGGACTGTGGGCAAGGTACTTTGGGCCCAAGCAACAAGGATTAGATTTCCTAGAGACCTTCAGCTCCACCATCAGTGGGACTGAGTCAGATCCCCACAGGATTGAAGAAGCTCAGTGCAGCTGTGCACATCTGTAATTCTAATAAGCAGAGGGGAATGAGAGCCGGGATTGTGAGGAGGCTCAGTTTGGAAGAGGATGATAACTGGAGATTGGATAACCATGATACTTGGCCCCCATAGGTTGGCAAAGGAGGAGGTGAGCCGGCAGGAGCTGAGACAGCGGGTCCGCATGGCAGACAATGAGGTCATGGATGCCTTTCGCAAGATCATGGCTGCCCGGCAGAAGAAGCGCACCCCTACAAAGAAGGAAAAGGACCAGGCCTGGAAAACCCTGAAAGAACGAGAGAGCATCCTGAAGCTCCTGGACGGGTAGCATCACCTGCTGCTGGCCTCCTCCCTGGCCTGTCAGAAGCCCACTTCCTTTGAAACCTTGGCTGGGGGCTGCCCATCAAATGACAACAGTCTCAGGCCACTCAGCTGAGCTTTGTGCAGCCAGCAGGCAAGGCCTTCCTATGCTGGCCTGGACCTAGCATCTGCCTGGTGCCCCAGATGAGCAGGCTTCTTCCTGGCTGTCCCCTTTCCTTCCTACAATCTCCTCGACACCTTTCCCTCAAGGACTTCTTCCTTGTGGTTTTGTAAAGTACAAACTTAAGAATAAAGTGACTGCTGTGTTTTTAAAAAAAAATTACAAAAACACCTATAATTTTTGAGTATCTATTATTTGTGGTGTTGGAAAGGCTTGGATAGGCAAAAAGCATTCAGGAAGGCATGCTTGGTGGCACTTGTATGGGAACTCCATCCTATAGCCAATGACATTTGGGGGGAACTTGTCATGGACTGTGGCCACTCACCCATGACATTTATTTTTGAGCACTTTTTTGTGATGGTGCTGGTGGCAGGAGGGTGGATCCTGGGATTCCCAGGGCAAGACTGCCTTCAGAGCTACTACACAGGGCCACCAAGGACCTGTTCCTTCGGGCTTTTCCACAGTGCCAGCTATCACTGAGGTGTCTTCTCAGGTGTGGGTGTCGGGCAGAAGTAGCCAAATGGTTCATTTGTGTCTATTACTGAAGAGAACCTAAAGCCTGCTGGCCATGGCCTCCCCCCAAAAGTAGCAAGCCTTGTCCCAGATGTCCCTGTGCCTTACCTAAACTCAAACTGAGGTCTCATACCCATTTCAGACACATCCTCTAAGTTAAGGTAACTACTGATGTGGTTCTCAGCCTGTGGGTTGCAGTCCCTTTGGGGGTTGAACAACCCCTTCACAGAGGTCACCGAAGACCATTGGAAAACACTGATATTTACATTATGATTGATAATAGTAGCAAAAATACAGTCATTAAGCACCAAGGAGACTAATTTTGATTGGGGGTCACAACTACATGAACTGTATTAAAGGGTCACAGCATTAGGAAGGTTGAGGATCACTGTTGTACTTAAAGGGCAGCAGTGTTAGGAAAAATGAGAACCACTGCCTTACTGTTTTAGTTTTTTGTTTTGTTTGGTTTTTGTTTTGTTTGCAGACAGACCTCCTGCCTGACTCTAAACTTGTGGCAATCCTCTTGCTTCTGCCTCATCTGTTGGGATCACAGGCCTGAACCATGGTGATGTTTGACCTACTCAGAGTTCCAACCATGCAGCCCCACAAAGTTCTACCCATAGGAAGGCTGAGCCCATCAGGCTCTGGGCAGAAAAGAGGCAAATGCAGGGTGGGCTACCAACATTGTGCCTGGGCTAGGAGCCTGCCTGAGAAATGCAGAGTGTGCTCTCCTTCTTGTGCATTCTCCCTGAGCTAGGGTTAGAGCTCTGGGAAAGGAGAGGAGACAGTTTCCTGAGGAAATGACCTATGAACTGAGCCACACAGAGAGATGAACTGTTTGTAGTGGCAAGAACCTGTAACCCCAGCACTTAGAAGGCTGAGTCTACAAAGTAAGTTTCAAGACAGCCAT